TGAGACAATGAATGTATGTATGGATTGTGATGAGTTATACGAGCCCCAAATAAAATGATTTATAAAAAGAAAAATCAAATCAAAACAGTGGCTTCTGAGGCAGTGATTAGTAAATTCAGCACTAACAACAATAATACAATCATTTACACCCATTAAGCTTGAGCATCCAGTGGATGAAATGTCTTCTGATTTATTACATTTTGAAAGGGAAGCAATTTTGGGTTTATATATATTTTAAAAAACAAACTCACTGCCATTGAGCCAATTCCAAGTCATGGTGACCCTGCAGGAGGGGGTAGAACTGCCCCTGTGGCTTTCACAAACGGAACAGGAAGCCCCTTCTTTCTCCTGTGGCATGACTGGTGGTGTTGAACTGCTGGCCAGGCGGTCTGCAGCGGTCTGCAGCCCAGCGGGTAACCACTGACCTTTTGTCTTATCTTCAGTGAGCTTTTGGCTTCGCCCTGCAGTAATTTTTGCCATTGCCTGGATAGAAGATTGCATCACTTTTAAAATTTGGTTATGCCATAGCAAATCAATGTGAATAACTGAAAACAAATAACATTTATCAAACAAATAAAATTTTCATTTGGACTTTAACAAAAATTATATTTTAAATTTGTGATTAAAATGTATTGGGAACATGTAACTTTCAAAAAGAGCTCAAAGAAGGAGTATCTAGAAGGCAGTCTGAAATCATCGGATTTCTGCTAGTGTTTGCTGATGGGCCCATGAGTGCTCCTCATCTCGAGAGAGTGCTCAACATTTGGCACACCCCTTTCTGTCCTTGACGTTTCATCTTCACAGGTCCCTGGACTGATGCCCACACCTGCCACCTGCAGGGGCAAGAGTAATCACAAAGCACAGATGCAAATACAAAGGTCTGCTTAATCAAAAGACACAGTTTGGCTCCATTTATTCAGGAAAGAACCAGATAGATTGTAAATCACACAATTATGGTGCTGATGGTGAGTTCTTAGGTCGCTAATGAAGAAGCGCTACTTGTGAGGTTAGACCTGATGAATCCAAAATGAAAAGTTATTGGTATTAACCTATAGGCGATCATTATTAACCCACGCAACATTCACAAAGTATACATGTACATTTTACTTCTCTCAACCCCCCATACTCAGTGATATAATGATAGCACAGCTCCACTAGCAAGTCAATTTCTTAAAGTCAGTCTGTGGGAAATGGAAATAAATACATTTACATACATTTTACTATCTAAATATTCATAGTTGATTTCATGAAGGAATTATTTCATTTCCTTACATGCTCACTGCCATCAAGTTGATGCGAATTCATAACAGCCTTACAGGACAGACTAGCACTGCCCTGTGAGTTTCCAAGACTGTCACCCTTTACAGGAGTAGAAAGTCTCATCTTTGTCCCACAGAACAGTTGGGGATTTCAAACTGCAGACCTTGTGAATCGCAGTCCAACTTGTAACCATCACACCACCACAGCTCCTTTTCCTTACATGAAGATATATAAATCTTCCGATAAAATAGAAGTGTAATGTTCTAATTAACCCCCTTGGTTGTTTTCTTGGATGATAACCTTAGAAACACACTCATTGTCGCAACACAGAAACATTTCACTCGATAAATAAATATTGAATTTTTGTCCTTTGAAGGCACCTCAGACTCCAAACTTGCTGCCATTGAGTTGATTCTGGCTCATAGCCATCCTATAGGACAGGGTAGACTTGTTCCCATGGCTTTCGGAGACTATCACTCCTTCCAGGAGGAGAAAGCCTCATCTTTCTCCCATATGGCAGCTGATAGTTTCAAACTGTTGACCTTGTGCTAGCAGCCCAGTGCGGAGCCATGATGCCACAGAGCTCCTACTTAGTATAGCATTCATTAGCATATGCAGGGTAATGTGCGGTCCACATAACAGACAATAAATACTGAGACTCATTTGATATACTATTAAAACTTTTGTTAAATATTTCCTTTTTTTTTTGACATTTTCTATGTTAGCATTATATTAAGTACTTTCAGTCAGCACCCTTACTGGCACTATGGAGCTCTGGTGTCACCATGGTTACAAGTTGGGTGTGATTAGTTACGAGTAAACAGTTACAATCTTGCAAACTCACGAGGCAGTTCTACCCTGTCCTACCCCGTCACTGGGAGTTGGCATTGACTTGATGGCAGTGAGGTGTTTTTATACTCGTACGACATTAAATGCATACTCTATTGTGTCTAAGCATATGTGAAACATATTTCAAAGTTAGAGCTATACATAATTTTATTTACAAAATTCAAGACACAATTCTGTGTATAAATGTTATACAGCTAAAAAGTAATTTGATTGGATCAATTGCAATGGTCCGCTTGTTCAGGTTCCCTCATTGTGTGCACCATCTGGGCCTGACATTCCCAGGATGATTACAAGAGCAAGCCCTTGTGTTTGTGTCATTGTTGGTCCTCCCAGGCTGGAGTTTCTGGGCCAACAGATGTGCATGGACCAAAGGGTTCTCAGCATGGATTAAAGACCCACTGTCTATTAGTATAATCTGCCCTTTCTCAGTAACTACTCATGCTGTGTCCAGTTGCTTTGGACACTGGACCCCACCTCTTGTTTATGAGAAAGACATTATATACTCCCAAGAGACATGTGGAGATAAGTTTCAATGACCTGCGAGGGACACAGGAGACAGATGCCAGTGCAGGTGCAGAAGAGTCAGCAACCTTGTGCCTAGGTGTCCTGGGCTGCTGTGGACTTTCCCTCCCTAGCGGGAGCTCAGCCCTGGAGCTGATGTCCGTGGAGTCAGAGTTCAGCCCTATGCTGCCTTCTGCCACCAGTGTCTCCAAGTTTCTGTTTGGACAACTGGAACCCCTGCTTTGTTGCTGCCCTAAGCACATGTTTGCTTATCTTGCTGACTGGGTAATGACCTGAGATAGGCTTGGGGACTATATTTCTGGATTAATGGTTTCTTGGGGGGGGGTCTGGCAGGGGAGGTTGGGAAGACATGGGGAGCTAAGAGTACAAGATAGAACAAAATGTTCTAAAATTGATTGTGGTGATTATTGTGCAACTCTTCTTAATATGATCGAACTATTGCATTATGTGATGTGTGAATTATATGCCAACAAAACTGTTTTAAGAAGAATCTAATATCTGTACACTG